TCCGATCTTTGTCCCACTTGACAAGCATTCTCTCCTGAAGCATCCCCAGTATGGCCCCGGGGACTGACTAAAAAACAGTATCACAACATACCGCAAAAAAATGTGCAGTGCTGACACACACACACATACACCCACACATACACAAACACCTACACACACACAGACTTGAGCACAGGGTCTGGGTCTTCCATGAGCTCCACAAGTTTTGGGCGAAAGTAGCTCTCAAGCAGCCCATGGATTTGTTCACCTTCTGCCTTAGTGTGTAGCTATATGCCAGTTAACACAGACATGTGCTGTGTGCTTGCATGTTTTTATCTCATGCCATATGAATTGTTTAAGTGCGTTTACTACATACATGCGAAAATATGCTTAACATACGTATATGTATTGGGTAGTCGGTATGAAGAAACTTAAAACATTCACATATCCAAGTGCATCACAACGTGTTTATGGGATGTGTATGGCTAGATACTTATCATATATTATGTCCATTATCTGGGCACCAAGGGGCCCCTATGTGCAACGTCAAGGGCTTGTAGAGGTGCTTCACATTGGGGTCAGACTCATCCACAATGAGCTGAACCATGGTCAGAGCAGCAGGCTGGCCAAGGAAAAACTTGGTCGTAGACTGAGCAAAAAGGCAGAGACAAACCATATAGCCAGGGGCACACCCAGGAATTTTGGAAATGTGTTCCTCACTATGTTATTATGTAAGTATTATATAATAATATCTATAGGTATCATCATCTTTGTGGGTCTAAACTAACACATTTCAAAAAATCCTTAGGGGTGCAACACATGTCAAGGCAAAGCTGCAGGCTGGAAGGGGGGCGCACGTCTCCGGTGCTGAACGTTCTTTAGAAGGCCCATGGTGAACCTATATCTACCACCTGGTTTGAGCAAAATGCCCTCAGATAGTCCATTTTACCGAAAGTACCTTCTCACAACGGCCTTGGCAAAGTACATCGTTATCACGGCTTTGGATACTTAGGGCTATAAAATCCAATTAAATCACTATAAAATCCCATTAATTAACGTATAACAAACTCATCCAGCACTTGACCATTGGTGTATCCCCACCGTCACCGCATCGTGAAAAATGCCGGTCACCGCCATCGGTTCCGTGGCGTCCGGACGCTGATGGAAGCGTTTCAGCTCGAAGCGACAGAGCTGCCTCGAACGAAAAAACGCTGATGAGTCGTCAGATTCGTATACCAAAACATGTAGTAATATAAAGTGTAAAAAAATGGTATATAAAGTATAGTAAGTGTATATATATAATATAGTAATATATATATATGTGTTTTAATATCTATATATATAATATATTTATATAGTAAGTATATATATGATAAACGTATAGTATATAATGGTATGATATAGTATATAGTATACCCCATAAAACATATAGTAATATTATGCTATTCATTATATTCCAAAATGTCAAATACCAAGACTTGACATAGCATATAATGTTGTACATCACCAAAACTGGAATATAAACTTATAGAATATTACCTAAGCATTAGTTCATTATTGTTGCTATTATAGGTATATTATATTATATATTATATACTCATTGTACCAAAAGCTATCCATTTATTGCATTTTGTTGCTGTAACTGTGGAACTACTGCATAGTGATATTGTGCCTCTGGGTATCAGTGGCAGGAGAGCCGTCCCAGTGTTGGGTGCGCGACGAATTGGAGGGTGTTCGCTCTGGCATTGGCGACTTGTCCAACTTGTTCTTGCCTCCGCCGCGATCAAAAGAGGCTGACACTGCCACAAGCCAACGGCCAATAGTCCTAAATGCATGGTGAATGCGTTTGATTTCCTAATGAAAAATAGGAAAATCACAAACAACACACATCGCATCTGAATAACTTTTATAGATATAACAATTCACTAACATGAAATAAGTTGAAGGACATTCTGGGAGGGTTAACCCTAGGCCGCGGCGCCTGTGCCGCCCACATCTGAGTCGGAGGGGCTCTCGGCTAAGCCCACCAGGTTGCCTGGTGGAGCGAGCTGGGAACGGTCTCAATGGTTCGCACAAAAGCCCAGGCAGAGGGCCTTCAGATTGATTGGCGATGGTCTGCCAAGAGTCATTCTTTCGCATATTGCCTTGGCAAAGAATGGGCCATTTGTTGAAAAATCCGTTGTTTTTAACTGGGGAGATTATTTATTCAGATTGTCCATGAATAATCTATAAGATAACTATTATATACTATTATAATGGTTAGTTATCAACAATCAAATAATGGGTTACTGGCTACTTATCCATTGTTTGATTGTTTCATTGCTGAGTTTTCTCAATCCATTCGGGCCACCCGGGCAGCCGACGTCTGTAAAAGATTGTAAAAGGTATAGATTCGGTATAGATTTGTAGGAACTTTTCGATTGCCATTTCCATGGGGGAAATCATCCACACTGTCAGTTGAATCAGGGCAAAGCATAACATTCACAAACCTGAAAGAACACATTTTAGGAAGCATTCTTTCATATTATTTCCCTTGCGAGGTCGGTAGAATTTTGCCAAAAAATGACTGCAAGGCACGTGAAGGTTTGTCTGGCAGCAAATGCAAGACGTTCAGTTCCTGGTCGTTGGTGCCACGATTCAGCCACTAGAAAGAAAGGGATCTAAATCATCTAATATGATCTTACTGCAAAAAAACACGTAATCCCATTCCCAAAACATATTTAACACCCCCAAAAAAACGTGTCTCCAATATGCGCAAATCCTGTACCAAACTATGGTTTCTGGGGGCATTTACGAGCTTTCAAAAATTGAGGTGATGGGACTCATCAGCAACGTGGCAATACCAAATATATCCATGTTGGAGGAAAAAACTGATTCAAATATGTCATTATAACACACATATTAAATATGCATTAAATATGGATATTCCCATCAAAAATGGGATCAATAATGATTAATATATATATATACTGGTTGGTGGTTGACCTACCCCTCCGAAAAATGATGGAGTGAGTTCGTCAGTTGGGATGATGACATTCCATTCCAAACTGAATGGAAAGTCATAATCCAGCCATGTTCCAGTTACCACCAACCAGATATGCATTTAACATGGTCTATGCTTAAAGAATTCTTGCGCTTCAACATGTGTCGACACGTCTCAACGGCAATAAATCGAGTTATCGAGTGATCGAGTTTCTGCCGCCAACGAAACTCAACGAGGCAGGTTGCGAGGTTCGATATCCACAGCACCCATCATCAAATAGAGGTTCAATATGAGGTTCAATATGAGGGTTTAATGATCAAAATAGAGGTTCAATCAACAAGATATCAAGTTTTAGTTACGGATCTTTTCTTTTAAGGTTCAATATGAGGCTTGATGATCAAAGGAATGGAATCTATGACTACCCTTAATCGACCTTGTTCAACAGCTTCTGTCAATCCCCGGTATCGATTCATCGATCCCCCTATTCTCCTGGTCTGGTTGTGGTTCCAATCGGACTTCTTTATGATGGCCTGCACCTTGGTTTCTCGAAACCATCCTGGACATACGTCGTGGACCATCGCACATCTGGATCACCAACCCCAAATTGGAGTTTTTGTCTGAGTTTGTCTGAACATGTGGCATACCCCAAAATAGCAATTCTATTTTTGGGGAATCATGATAAACCCTTGGATTTGGGGTGCCGCACTTTCTGAGTTCAAACAAACCACCACATTAACCAATGGTTGTGCGTATGTGGAAGAACTCTACTGCGTATTGTTCAGTGTTTTTGGTTGACATGTTGAGCTTCCACACTGGCCAAGCACGGCAATGCTCGTCGGAGCACATCCTCATCTGCACACACTCGGCCCTGGTTTCAGCGCACGGCAAGGCCAAGGACTGGTTGATTTAACCAACAAGTAATGCTGTAATAGATATGTAGTAGGAATAAATTGAATAAATCCTTATTGACCCTTATTCTTAAAGGGGGTAAACTGTGAATAAAACAATGTATATAACACATTGATGTGGCCAACAAGGACTTAACCATTAATATGGGTAAAACATGGTAAAACAAAGACATAAACCATCCCCCAGTCATCACTATTTTTACAGGCGGTATGCTTACCATTCCCAGTCATGGGTGCTTTATGACATGATTGACCCATATTAATGCTGGTAAAATAGTCAGATGTAATAAGCATATGTTGATGGTTTATAGATGTTTATAGAAACCATTTATGGTAACTATTGCTATTGCTTTACTAACACTAAATTTATATAAGCAAATATGATGGGCACATCATTGGGATATAAACTATAACATCCAATTGTTTGTTGTCTGAAAGCATGAAATTTATCACCAAAATACACCAAAATTCCCACAAGTTTCTTCTCGCGAATGAAGGGGAATCTATCAACGCCAGCCATCAAGTGACTAAGCATAAATACCTCTCAAGAGAAGATTCCGGTTGGCCACATATCAACATGTTTTCCATCAAGGTAATCCAAAAAAAAACAAACTAAAGTTGTCCAACAAAAAGACACGGAACTCCAACCTATCCATCCCAAAGAACTCACGTTCTTCCACTTTCTATGTTTGCGATATGGGATTCCCATTGGTACAAAGAACGATGTACAGCGATATGGACGGATGGATGAATTGAGACACACATGCACAAACAAATATATACCGTACATGACTATGTTGAAAAACTGGTACAGGTGCTGCTGGAATAGGGGAGCACCACTTTTGTTCGTAGAACACTTTCAGCCAGTCACAAGCTCTCCTTTCCCCTCACAAGACTCAGGCGAAATCTGGTGGCCATTTTGGCTGAACCATGTCCGCTATGTACAACCACGTGGCGTTTGCAACACAGTGGAAGGAAAGTCTCAACTCAGAAGCACTAGCAGCAAGAATGACTATATAATGGAAAATCACTCCCTATTGCGCAATTCTACGCTTCGATAATCAATGCTGCAATGGGAAATGCCTCCATAAATCCTATAAATGAAGTTTTGGATTAGAACATCATCAATTCAATGAGTGATTTTCCATAGGTTTCATTGCCGGGTCATCACAGCCACGTTCTGCCCGCTCTATCTCCATACTCGCCTGGCGAAGGCTACTTGGATGACTTACCGACCTTAAAAAAAAAACAAACTGTGATTTTTGAGAGAAAACCCTTCTGTTACCAGATGGTACCCGCTGGTGATAGTTGATTTACAAAAAAAAAGGTGGTTTTCCATAGTTATGTTAGTTTACCAAATGGCATCTCACTTTTCATGGCATGGACCATGGCTGGCGGCTAGCATCGAGTACCAAATGTACCAATTCCAAACAAAACGCCGTGACTTCACAGGCTGATAGAATCAGCAAAAGGTAACCCTAGGAGATGCAACCAGTACTATAGCAATGTCCCAAATCAAATCCATCAACAAACACATCCCCATAATTCAACATAGAACCTCCAAAAAGGATTTAGAATACTCGTTTGGTCTGAGTCACTGGTTATGGCCAGTTTCTGCGTTTCAGCACCCTTTCAGGGGTACAATCTATTGTTTTCAACTGCCTTCAGTACGGTGGGAAGATCTTCTCAAGAGTGGTGATTGAAAGCCACTGAACACCGAAAATGAGGCACGGATGCCCACCATACATGGACCAAACAAATATTCCCATGTTCCTTCAACTCTTCATACTTTATCAATCAATGGTTCGTCTACATGAATAGCATCATTTAATCATCATTCATCATGAATCTACGGTAATCTCCAAAAAAAGAACCAACAACATTCACATTAATCATTAATCATCATTCATCTACCCAAAAAACAAAAAAAACATTCCATTCGAACACACATCACCTGTGACTGGTTGCTCTTCCGCAGGTGGCTGGACCTGAGTCTCTGGAACATCCCGTGCCGATCTTCCCCAAGAACCCTTACCCAAATGCTCCATGTATGGTATATGTTTGGAAGATTTTTGGGGTAAATATTGATCAATGTTAATTATCCATACATGGATCAAATGGGTTATATTACATTTTGCCGACCAAAGATCGGCATTTGAGCAACACCTTCACTGATGTTTACATCGAGGTCGGGCCCGTGACGCTAAGAAAAATATCCAAAGTCTGTGGATATTTTTGGCACATGATAGATCTTGGCTAACCTTTGCTCCTTGGGATATTCCTAATAATATATAATATATCATAGTCATTCCTCCACGTGTCGCGAATACTCAGCCCATAATCAACCCATTAACAAACTGAAACAGCAAAATATCCAGTAGGTAAAACAACAACAATTATGCCAAAATTGCACGCACAAAAATGAACCTCACACACACACACTATATATATAATAAATCCAAATACTGTATATCTAAAAACTCAAATGCTCACGATCTGCCATCATTGCAATAGCCAGTCGCTGTTTCCAGTTTACTCCTGGAATGCCCCAGGACTTTTTCGATGCAGCCAAGCAACTTCTTGCATCATGGGTCCTGGGGTGCACACGAATCTGGTCTTCATCTGGGTGATGTGGTTTGAAACAAATGGGTACGGGACGAATGGGTACGAGTATGGATCAAACCTACAGCCCTGTAGACCAGGAGAATCATTTTCAGTAATTACCCACAACCACCACCCGAGTTTGGCGATATTAGTTTCCTAATTCCTGAATTGTGACTCATACCGCCAAAGGAACCCAAAAGTGGAAGGACCTGGTTATTTTATATGGACAATTCCATATGTATAGATGATTTGTGATGATTTACCTTCTAAATATGGTGATTTTTCATACAATGTGAGGCCCCCAAGATAGCTAAGTTGGTTTATAACTCCAATAAACTATGGTTTATGGTACTTATAACTATAGTTACTGGGGCTTATAAACCAACTTATAACTGGGGCCCACAGTGTAGCTACGTTGAATAACCAACCAGGTTTTCCAACGCCCAAGGCTTGGCTTCCAAGGAACTCAGTAACGTGCGGTTTGGGCCACTGTAGAGCGGCGGTGCTTGCCAGCTGGGATAACCTTGGCCACAAAAACACCGTGGAAAAAGGGGCGTTTTTTTGGGGGGGGCCGACCAGTCGACCACAGTTGTGTTGTATCACTAGATCAAGAATGATAATCACTGGATAATCACTGGATATTATCCAATGGTTGGTTGTATCACTGGATAATCACTGGATTGGTTGACGGGAAAATCTGAAAATCGAAGCCGTTTTCGCCCGGCTTCGGTTTGCCCATGTTTCCCGAGGGATTTCTGCCAGGTGGCCGAAGCGCGGTGCATCAATTGGACTCTCAGGTGGCGTCTGGGGTGAAGCAGGCTGCGCTGGCCTGTCAGTTGGACAAAGGAGATGACCTTCAAATGGTAGCCATCTAGTCACTTATATATATATATGGGTAAATTATAATATTTCACTAACCTGAATTAAGGCCATTTGGGGATGATTCCCCTTATTAACCATGATTCCAGTGAGGTCGCAGTGAGGTCGTTATAATTTACCCAGATATATATATATAGCCGCTGTGATAGTCTAAGTGGATGAGGAGTGTGATTTATAGTATGATCTAGTTGTAGCTGGTCATGTTGGATATTTTTTGTCAATGCGCAAAAAACTTACAGTAATATATTTTGTTGCCAAGACGACACTACATAGTAATAGTCTCTTTTGCCATTGATGGCACGTATTCCAGTATGCCCCCGAAGCAAGGCTGGCCCAACGAACATGGGAGAGCAGTCAATGCAATGCTTGTTCCAAATTTGTTTTTGTGGATTCCAGTGGCCGGTTTAGTATGGAAGTGGGTAGAAACGGACATGATGATCGACATGTAGTTTACTATCCCTGCACGCTCCATGATCCCAAGTATATATATATACCTCTTACTGCTGTAGCATTGAGCGTTCCTACCAGGAACAAACCCTTGGCAAGGCTGTGGTCACCGCAAAAATTCCATGTGAACTCCTGTTTCCCCAGTTTGATGAAGGCGTCATCTGTCACGCCACGCGGGTCAAAATTTGATGTATATTCCGCAGAGTGATAGGTCAAAGACAGAAACTTGCCGGGAATGGAGATCTTGCCGTGGCTGACTCTGGTCTTTCGCTTGCTCCGCTCCGGACATTTACCCCAACCACATGACCTTCATTGACCTTCCTAACACCAGACGAGATTTGTCACATCATGATAAGTCCCACACCTGCAGAAGAATTTCTTTGGATTATTTCTCTCACTAACCTGGGTCTATGTTCAACCACAAACCAAGGATTTATATAATTCTTTTGTGTCTATTATACAATGTTAGATTTCACATTCCCGCTCCAGCTCAAAGGTACGTGTCTCCCTCAAAAAAATTGCTTTTCCCTAGATCTAGTATATTACATGGTTGGGATTGCATAGGTGTATATATATATATATATATGATGAAGCTCAAAGCTACCTTGCTGGCTCACTGCCTCCTTGCTAGCTCAAAGCTCAAAGCTACCTTGCTGGCTCAGTGCCACGTAGCTGGCTCAGTGCCACGTAGCTGGCTCAATGCCACGTAGCTGGCTCAGCGCCTCGTAGCTGGCTCAGCGCCACGTAGCTGGCTCAATTTTTTTAGCGAAAAAAAAAAAAAAAAAAAAAAACCTCGCAGAAATTGAGCCGGCTACATGCCCTTGAGCCGGCTCGCCAATGCGTCATGAACCCGGCCAATACATAGCTAGTATTCGTTTTGATGCTCTCACATTCGTCCGCCAGCTCAACGTGACGTAGCTGGCTCAATTTCTGCGAGGTTTTTTTTTTTCTTTTTTTTTTTTCGCTAAAAAAATTGAGCCAGCTCGATGCCATTGAGCTAGCTCGATGCCCCTGAGCCAGCTACGTGGCATTGAGCGAGCTCGATGGTGCTGAGCCAGCTCGTTGCAGTTGAGCGAGCTCGCAGAAACTTCCCAATCTGTTAAATTGCATTAAATTGCCAGGTTCAATCCCCACTGATTACTTTAGTACTAGATATGGTACCTCTGAAAAAGCCCAAGGTGACTGTCAAAACATACCCCTGATGAAATTGAGCCAGCTACATGTTTTGAGCTAGATCGAAAAAATGGAAGATTGGGAATTCCAACATTAGATATTAATTTGAAGTACCCTCTGGCTATTTAACATAGCCATGGACAATGGCCCATTTATAGATGGTTTACCTGGCTTTACCTATTAATAGCATGGTGGATCTTTCCATGGCAAACTGTTAGTCATAACCAAATGGTATTCCTCAAAGATTTTCATAGATTTTCTATGATTTCCCCAGTTCCAAGGGGGACATCAGTTACCATTACCCACGGCCTCTCTCGCAAGTGTGCTGGAGCCACAGAGGACAATGGAACCTGGCCACAGGAACCCTGGGTTATGTTACAATGTGGGGCCCCCCAGTGATGGAACGATGGTTTATAAACCCCATGAATACTATAGTTATAGGTACAATAGACCATAGCAATTGGAGTTATTTGCACCAACTTAGCTATCGTTTGGGGGCCCCACTTTGTTACAATGGGATACAATCTGTGCTTCACTCTTGACTCTTCTAAATATAACTCCCTTGGCCATATATGGGTAATTTACATTGTTTATTACACTACATTACTGACAATAAAAAAACATATTCACAGACCATTACTATTTGAAATAGTCCTATAGGTCATGGATGGTCATGGGGTTTACCCTCTGGTAATTTAACATAACTATGGAAAATCACAATTTTCAATGGGAAAATCCACTATAAATCGCCATGTTCAATAGCTATGTTAAATTACCAGAGGGTACCCGCAAATCATTCCATTTTCGGATTTCCAAACAGGTCAAGCATCCAAGGGCTCGCCATGGCGCGCAGGTGGCACGGTGGGTGGCAGAGCACCAAGAAGCTCGTCGTCCAATGACTGCTCCTTGGACGAAAATCCCCAGGGGCCCAGGGATGTGCAACAGGAAACCATAGGAAAACCATAAGGATTTAACCAAGAACAATAGGGATTTCATGGGATGTATATAGTTGATTTAATAACCATAGTTTGTGGTAGATATATCGAACAAGTTCATGGGATTATAAACCAACTTGCAACTGAGGGGCACCACATTGCAGGCCTCCAAGTACCCAAAAGGGGTCGTTCACCCCGATTATTTGTTCAGCACTTGGAGGGTCTAGGAACATGTGGTAACATGTCCCATATGCTCCATGGAATATTTACCTACACTTGAGCTATTTGTGGGGTAAATGCTAGCAAATGTTCTATATATGGAGAATTGGGGCGTACTCGTATGCAATCACCAATTGTAGTAATCACTAAGAAAGATAGAATATAAATTCCTACACTGAAATTAAATAGCCGTATGACAACTCACTATTTGTAGGTCCTTTTACTAGGGAACCCATGGATTCCACATTTATATTAGTTTACCTCAGGGCACATGATAGTGTAGCAACCCATTAAAAACAAGATAGAACAGTATAATTATGTTGATTCCACTATGGTATACCAAGAAACCAGGGTCTTTTCCTTATAAACGATTATTTTTTCCCATTATAAACCCGTATTTTCTCACTATTCATCATTATTCCCACTGTTTTCCCATGTGGAAGTTTCCATAAATGGGGTAGCCCAAAACGGATGGTCAAAAAATTGGAACAACCTCCATAAAAATGGAGGATTTAGTGGTGTGTATATATATATATACGTATATTATATACCACCATTTTAGGAAACTTCCATACATCCCATTGCATCCCATTATTAAAAAACAGATATGATATACATCGTATATACTCCTTACCCCTATATCCCAAAAAGTGGGTGGTTGCGTAATGAATCACCAAGATCTGTGGGCTTCCCAGCGTCAAAGACCGGCGCCACGATCTGCTTGGCGTTCTTCCGCAGGGCACCGACGGCGCTCTCGGCGGCCACGCCCTGGTGGCACCAGATGGACATCGCCGCCACGCGATGTCAAAAGAGATGGGTCAAGAATGGGAGATATATGGGGTACCCCAAAAGGGATGGGTTATGACAAATCCTACTGTAATGGATTTGGGACCCATTTCATGAAACCTCTATTTAAGATCATCTTAGAATGGTATGTCCAAGTGGTAAATTTCATCTAAGAATGGGATAATGTCATCTAAGAATGGTATATATATCAAAGTGGTAAACCCAATTTCATAAACCATCTCCTAAATCACCAAATGGATGGTATAAGCCATAGATCATCAAAGTATGCCCAAATGCTCCATGGTGCTGGAGTATTTACCTACAAAACTGGGTGATTTTGGTGGGGTAAATGTTGACAACTATTCCAGCACCATGGAACATATGGGGTAACCAACATCGTGGGATATAACGATACAACGTCGGGATTCGATGGATAGAAAAATCCAGCATGCAAATGGATCTAACCAACTCATGGATATAAATATATATATATATAACCAGCAACATATGGGATATGTTGAGTTGTTGGGTGGACTGAATGCTTGAACCATCCAAAGTCGGGGATTTAACCATCAAGGCTATGGATTTGACCGTATAGCCATACGGAAAGGGGATACAACGTGATAGATACCCAGCAAAATGATACTGGGGTGCCTAAATCACATTAAATTCATTAAATGACACCAGTAAATATTAATTGTAATCTGATAAGAGGAAAATTATGATCAGCCAAAAGATTTAGGGTACCGGATTGGACATTATTGGATCATTTCCTATACTCACACAAAGATGTTGCTGTCACACCCCCCCTTGGATGTGTCTGCGTGATTCTGAATTTTACATACCATCGTTGCTGGTCAATCATGCACAAATGATGGGTGACAGGTGGACCAAATCAATATGATGTCATTCTTTCACTGGGGTTTTATGGACAACCTGAAGCCAGGGTAACAACCGGGTAACAAGTCACTGTGAATGGACACAGCACTGAACAAGCTCATGCACCAACACACCCGGAACCTGCAAACCCTTCAATGGCACATCGATGTACTTGGGCTTCACTTCCTCAACAAAAACATAGCTGTGACTACAGCTTGGGCATGTTGCAAGGAGTCAGCCCAAAATCCTGATGCGTAAAGGATCAAATCTGTGAATCGACAAGATGAAATTACTTTACTTCGTGTGATCCCCACCGTGACATTTTTACATTTTCTTACTGGCAAATCTTCTGGCATTCTATCTGACATATCTTCTGGCATTCTATCTGGCAAATCTTCTGGCATTCTATCTGGCATATCTTCTGGCATTCTATCTGGCATATCTTCTGGCATTCTATCTGGCATATCTTCTGGCATATATTCTGACATATCTGGCATTCTATCTGGCATATCTTCTGGCTTCTGGCATCTATCTGGGCATATCTTCTGGCATTCTATCTGGCATATCTTGAGGTCCGGCAGGGAACACTGGGCGTGGATACTCGCGGTTGAGGTCCGGCAGGGAACACTGGGCGTGGATGGTCGTGGTTGAGGTCCGGCAGGGAACACTGGGCGGGGATGGTCGTGGTTGAGGTCCGGCAGGGAACACTGGGCGTGGATGGATGGTCGTGGTTGAGGTCCGGCAGGGAACACTGGGCGGGGATGGTCGTGGTTGAGGTCCGGCAGGGAACACTGGGCGTGGGTGGTCGTGGTTGAGGTCCGACAGAGACCACTGTGCGTCGAGGGTCGCGGTTGAGCAGGAGGAGGAGGAGAGGAGAGGAGGAGAAGGAGGACGAGAAGGAGGAGGACGAGGAGGAGGAGGACGAGGACGAGGAGGAAGCAACTGACATAAAATCTAACAACCCTCACCTGGCAGGTGGGGAAAAATCACATTCCGAACAAGCACTAAATCTCCAAGATGCAAAAATGTGAAATCCCTAAGGCACAAAAAGCAATCACTCATGGTCTGGTCGGGGTGTTTGAGCTTTTGGGCCGCACGGCATCGCACGGCAGGCAGCATATCTCCAAGTCACTGTGGCCAGCGGATACTGCGAACGTGGCTTTGGTTTCCTCAAGCAACAGGCGATCGGGGATCTTTCCCGCTGCAGCTAGATAATGGGCACCCTTCAAAGGAATGCCAAATCGGAAAGCACCGTGGAACTTTCCTGAAATTGACCATGGATCAAGAAATTAGAGTTGGAAATGATTGAAGCATATTATTGATTTCCAGTGGTGCGGCAGTGGTTCAAACTCAGTTTTTGTATACGTGCTTTAGTGGTTGCATGAACAACTACATGACAAATGACACATGCAAATCCACCTTATGGATCCTTATGGTTTCAAGTGCTTTGTTCATTCCTGCAGCCTGCAATCATCACTGATGCTTTCCAGATTGGTTTGAACAATGTGGCGCCCCCTACCTGCGTTTTGACATCCACCTACTTGATAGTTGCAACACCAGTTAACACCACCTTGTAGCATCTTTCGTACCAGCGGCTCTGGCGCAATCAAATCCTCTGGTTCATCCGCTGTCTCTTGAACTGGCGCTGCCTGTTGTGGCTCGCAGCCACAAGGCCATAACATCATAGACCCAATGGGGAAATCACGTATAAATGGTGGGATAATGGTAGTGATTAATAGCGATTGACACTTACTAATCGTTATTTCATGTGGTAAACCATGGTAAACCCAATGCATTAGAACATCCCCAAGTCATCACCATTTTGCTGGGTGGCTTTCCAACCATTTCCGAATGGTAGTTGTTTTGAGATTTGTGTGGTTCAATCTAGTTGTTGGTGGCCTTGTCATGTTTTGGGGCTTCCCCCTGTTAAACAAACTTGGGAAAAAAAGCAATAGCAACAACAGCAACAACTCATTTTTTGACGAATTCATGTAGGATTTCCAAGACATCTGGAGATGTCCCATCGCCGGCTTTGCCCCGTCCCCGCCTTGGGCTTTGCCTCAGTGACATCCACACTCGAAAATTCATGGGGATTCATCCCAGCCTATTCAACTGCATGGTTCAATGGTCCATGAATCTTCCAAAATCTCTGACCTCTGCTTTTTTTTCTCTGGCTAAACTATATACTTTTTTCGGTTGACTGGTCAAATCTCATGAAATCTCCATATATTCTGTTGATTAAGTCCCAACTCCAGGTTTGCTCCAAACACCCCAGGTACAAGGGGTGTAATTTGCGTAAATCTAAGAGTAAAACGACTCATTTACCACCCTTGTTGCCCTCATTTATCAAAAATAGGGTTTTCCCACTTCCAATGGATTATTCGTATCACCCCCATGAAAAAAATTGCCATTTGTTATGGGTATAGCCCCCATTTCCAGCTGGCGCCTTCGGTTCGTTCAGCTTGGCCCGCGCCACAGTCCGCTTGAGGTTGCCCGAGGCCTGTAATCCTCAGCTGGGTTTTGGATTCGTTGGATGAACATATGGATGGATTCAATAGTAATCCATGGATATGATCATGTTTGGATTATATGTGGATACAGTATTTGGATGGACATACAGATGATTTTAATGACAATTGGGAATGTTTCAGAGGCTTCCTACGGTAGATAGGATACTACTACGAGTACTGGAAATATGTTTTGTTTTGATAATTTGGATGGATATTATGATATGTATATATATATGGGTATCGATATATGGGTTATTCGGATTATTGGATTATTTGGATGAGCAACCCTCCTTGCTTTATATCTGCCGAAATGCCAGTTTGTGTGGTTGGGAAACTCTGAGTGCGGCTCTTTGGGTCCATAAATCCATGTATCTGTGTGGTTATGTGTGCAGCACTTCCTTTCTGAAACGATGGGAAACGAAAGGCTATTTGAGGTTAATGCAAAAGTCTTGAGTCAAACTCATAATCCGGAAAGATATGTATGCACTATGATGAAGTTGCGGCTATTGAATTTTCTTGCTAAATGTAAAAACTTGTTTCAAATGATTTGGGATGCCTAGGGTCGTCACACGTCCTGCTTATAGTTGGTGTTGCATAAGTACATAGCAATCAAATGGTTCTATGAAGCAGTTGCCTATTCCAGCAAGTCGGGCCAATAAAGCATTCACCTATCCCCATTTTGGAGTTGGTGAACCCACCATTTTTGTCGGTATACCCCCTTACCCTCTGGTAGTCAAGCATGGTTTGCTGGAAATTCCAGTCATACTCTTTCCAGCTGTAAACCTTCATATAATTCGCGCGTTACCAAGCTAGCCATGTTTGATTACCAGGGGACAGCCTTCCCCAAACTACTTGGATTTGCTCAAGGAAGGAAACCAGAAAAATACACAATATTTGCTTTTCCGATTCCAAGTCCTGGATTTCTCATTGGGAAAAAAAACAATCATAAACAAAAAAACGATAAAACGACTAGGCTTTAGCCTATTGAAAATGCCAAGTATCGCCTCTCCCACTCCGCTTCAGACCACTTCAGAGGCCGCCAGAACTCTGAAAAACCCACCGCACGATCGCGGGCATAGCTGTAGCGCACCTGGGTGAACTGGAGACTCAACATCTTGGAGATCAAATATTCATGCAAAAACAACGAGCATCAAAGCATGTTTAAAATTGAACTCAGCACGCACACACACACGCGCATATATATATATATATATTGTGTATATTGTGTATAATATATCAATGTGCATGTATGTATGTATCTGACCAAACAAATGTTTCTTGGGTCGTTCGTACCTTACATTAAATTGATGACCATATAAAATGTTGAGGTTTCACCTAGGCCACCCCTTTTTCCAGGGGATCATTTGGTAAACCCACACAACTGCCTGCATAAAACTCAATTGGGGATTGGTTATCAATCCAAGTATCCTCCGGCAACCAAACATAGCAATGGAACATGATCATCTATACTACTACATAGGAATTATTTACCCAGCTATTGCACCAGGATTTCCCATCGCTATGATTGATGAGCCGGAGGGCAAATAGGAATGGAAGAGACAATATGCTTCAAACCACCAAATGATTTTCGAAAAAAACCTTAAACTGCTGGTTCTCTCAAATGTTGCACTCCTGTACTCCAACCTGGGAAAATCATGTCTTTACAAGAGGAGAACCAACTTGGAATGACTATTATACAGTGTAGCGGTTTAGGGAAAGAGTTTCGGTTGTTATGTTTTTAGAAAATGGCCGCCAACATTCATAGTTCTATCAATTTCTGGTCGTTTCTATCCATTCCTATCCAACTCCTGCATATATAAGACTATATATACAATATATATATATATATAATATATATATGTCTTATATATGTCCTACTTTTACAAAATATATATATATATGTATATAAATCCATTTCTACCCATATCCGTGGGTTGTGCTCCATGTCCGCGGATGTCCGCGGCACATCTTTGGCGCTGGGATCCCAAGATCGCGCGATTTCACCGGAGATCGAATCCACCTGGGGTGATTGCCATAAGAACCTTCGACCGAAGCCTCCCAGAAGCTCAATTTGCGGAAAAAAAATATGAACAAATCAGCAAAAAAGGTTGAGATTATAGGTAAATCATGTGGAAAAGGATAAAAAAACATGAAATTATAGGTAAATCATGTGGAAAAGGATTAAAAAAAAATGAATTTATAGGTAAATCATGTGGAAATATGTGGAAACAAAAATTTTTCTTTGCCCTTGTAGCGGAGGGTGTTGCTGTGTCCAAATTTTCCAACGGTCCGAAAGATGTGCTAAGTCTCAAATGTTAATTTACGCGAAGATTTGCCGAAGTCTAAATATTTGGACGCTCACCGGCATTGTATACAGCAAATGGAGGAATCAACCGAATCGGCGTCAATTCTCCCCGGGTGGGTATGCATGATTTTTGTCACCATGTTTGGGTGAAGGATCAACTAGAGCCTCGCCTGGATATGTTTCTTTGATGGCTAACATCATCAGCGCCATCATCACCAACAACCATTAATAGTCATCAATAACCTTCATCAATCATCAATACGTAAAGTACTACCCATTACAAACCACATCATCATCATCATCATCATCATCAGCAGCAGCAGCAGCAGCAGAATCATAATCATCAGCATCAGCATCACCATCATCATCACCAACAACCATGAATAGTTATCAAAGACCTTCATCAATCATTAATAACTACAGTGCTAGCCATTACTAACCACATAATCCTCATCAGCATCATGATCATCATCATCCTCATCACCAACAGCCATGAATAGTTATCAATAACCTTCCTCAATCATTAAAAGCCACGGCACTAACCATTACTAACCACATCATCATCATCATCATCATCATCATCATCACCAGCATCAGCAACAGCATCATAATCACCAACAACCATTGATAGTCATCAAAAACCTTCACCAATCATTAATGACTACAGTACTAGCCATTACTAACATCATCATCATCATCATCAGCATGATGGTCACCATCATCATCATCATCATCATCGTCATCATAATCACAAACAACCATTAATAGTCATCAATAACCTTCATCAATCACTAATAACTACAGTACTAGTCATTACAAACCACAGCATCATCATCATCAGCATCAGCAACACCATCATCATCACCAACAAGCACTAATAGTCATTAATAACCTTTATCAATCATAAATAACTACAGTACTAACCATTATTAACGACATCATCGTCATCATCATCATCATCACCAACTACCATGAATAGCCATCAAAAACCCTCATCAATCATTAATGACTATAGTAATAGCCATTACTAACCACATCATCATCATCATCATCAGCAGCAGCAGCAGCAGCATCACCATTATCATCATCATCATCACCAACAACCACTATTAGTCATCAATAACCTTCATCAATCACTAATAACTACAGTACTAGCCATTACAAACCACAGCATCATCATCATCATCATCAGCATCAGCAACAAGCACTAATAGTCATTAATAACCTTTATCAATCATTAATAACTACAGTACTAACCATTACTAACGACATCATCGTCATCATCATCACCAACTACCATGAATAGCCATCAAAAACCCTCATCAATCATTAATGACTACAGTACTAGCCATTACTAACCACATCATCATCATCATCATCAGCAGCAGCAGCAGCAGCAGCATCACCATTATCATCATCACCAACAAGCACTATTAGTCATCAATAACCTTCATCTATCATTAATAACTACAGTACTAACCATTACTAACCACATCATCATCATCATCATCATCATCATCATCACCGCTGACATCTCCGAGATCCATCCTTTCATGCCCAGCGGCTGAGTCCTGGGACTCGGGTTCTGACAGCACTTCCGGATCCTGTTGCACCATATCCTCGGAGGTTTGTATGCCATGGCTTCATACCAGCAATAGAAACTCATGGTTGGAATCCCACCCAGAAACATGATAAAATTGGGGATTACTATTGCTAACATTAGTCATGGGCCCGCTTAGACAAGAAAAAATGTGTCTCCAGCTGGGACGTATGTTATCTTTTCCTTCATCTCATTTCCCATTGGCGGGTCCAAATGAAACTATCAAATGCAATCAAAGCATTGCCCAATCTTCTAGTGTAGTGGGTGACTGATACTACGCACTGTAATATAGTATAATTTAGTGACTAGTGACATCTGCTTTCTCTCTCTCTCTCTCTCTTTCTCTCTCTTTCTCTCTCTTTCTCTCTCTTTCTCTCTCTCTCTCTCTCTCTTCCTCTCTGTCTCTGTCTCTAATCTATCTCTCTCTCTCCCTCCATCGCCATCTGGTTCAGTGACATCTGCTTCATTTGAAGCTTTTTCACTGCATTCGGGGCGGGCCGGAAAACGCTTCTGAACAGTACATGACCAACGGCGCCAGGGTCTCAGCTAGAAAATGAACCCTACCTTGGCATTTGCGCAGGCTGCAGCCTACGCAGTCTCTTTCCAGTACTCCCAGGAAATGCTGCAGTGTGAGATCAGGCATGCAGTCAATGCCCTAGCACCGGCTGCCCTAGCACTGGCCTCTCTCAGCAAGCGCACAACCTGGAAATGCCCATTCAAAGCTGCAACGTATAACGGTGTCCCTCCAGGCAAGCATACCATCTCAACATGGCCTCGCTGAGCTGCTATGAACAAGGGTGTTGTGCCTGTGTCAGTTGTGGCTGTGTCCATGTCAACTCTGGCCTCGATCAGCAAGCGCAGACCTCGATTTGATATCGGGGCCGCAGCGTTGTTCCGATCAGCACCCGCTGCAATCAACAACGCGACGACTTTGACGTGACCATTCTGCGCTGCATGGTGCAAGGGCGCTGCGCCACGGTCAACTGTGGCCAGATCAGTGTCAGATCCAATTTCAACACTGTCGACACTGATCTGGCACTGATCTGACCACAGTCGACACTGCCCATTTCAGCTGCAGCAATGGTGTCCAAAGTGTCCAACCTTCAGCTGTTGTGTCTTGGACATCTCTCTCCGCACCCACTTCAAGCAAGAGCAGCATGGATTCCACGTGTCCTTCTTCAGCAGCATGATGCAAAGGTGTATCGCCAGCTGTATCCCTCACACTGGGATTGCGAGGATGCTGAAGCAATCTTTCGAGTCCAAATATCATTGTGCATTGATGCAGCAATCATTTTTTTATCTTCCCCAATTTCTGGCGGCCAAAAATCCAACACAATCAGCGGAAACAACAGCCTCGTCATCTTGAATTTCGTGAGACCAATCTTCACACCAAAGCTTCTGCCGAAATCTGGAGATGCCAATCTGAGCTGCCAAAGATTGTTTCATTTATTTGGCAGTTTTGCCTTCATAGTCATCCGCAACAGCAACTCTTTCACTGGAAAGTGCGGAGTACACAAAGCACATTGGCAGGCTTCTGAGAAACTAAACCTACCTACAGATCTTAAATCCAGGGCGGATTAAAGGATATCTAACCTGGACTAGACCTAAACTGAATTAACAATCATGGGATTCAGTTGCCAGCCAGAACGCATACATACCCAAAAACATGTAATAAAATAACAAATAATAACAGTATAACCGCCAGGTGCTGGCGCGTGTCCCATCCGATAATGGTGCTGGCGCCCCATCTGGCCCCGTCTGGGGAAACAAATCTTGTCGGGACAAATGCGCTCGCCAAATGAATCTTGGAACCACATGGGACCCCATTTGAGCTGTGTCTGTTGGGATTGTAGTTGCACATCTTGCACCACTTGGTGAAAATGCCCTGCTCCATCACGCACTCCAATCAACAGCAATTCCGTTGGCTATATTGTATTGTAATGGGATTAATCAATCATTATCATACCCAAGTTACTACTATTGTATATATAGCTTTATATCTCACTAACTAGTTTATTATCGTATCGTACTTCCCCAATCCATGGGCTGAACCTGGCTTAATCACCAGATCGGAACATAGTTACTGTTCAACCACCAGCTTAACCAGCTTAATCAATGTTCAAAAATCGAATCCTATCATGTTACATGCCATTCTGCATGCTGGTTAAATAATGTTTCTTCGCCCATCTATGGGCCCCCGTTCGAAAGTGGTTATAATATATAAATATATAATACTATTACACTTGGGATGTGTTCATTATGGGGTTACACAACCATAATATTGCAAATAGGATAGATACGGAATAATGGGACATAATAAAACCCATGATAGGATTACAATGGGTTATAATCCCTTCCCCCTGATATTAAACACAACCTTAGAAACCATGCTTCAGTAGGTGTTTTCCACATAATTGGGACTATTTAGGTGGTGTTTAATATTAGGGTGATGGGATTAATTAAAGAAACTTATAAAAATCAACCATAATAAACCCTGCTCCACTCAGTATCTTCCCATGAAATCGTTGAAATCCCCCATGAACTTCGCCACACGCTGCAGGTGAGGCTCCATACCGCCACCCGTCTGCAGGACCCGCACCGCCTGGGGATCTGCCCGGTCGGTGGGGTGTGCCACGGCTTCGCGGCGATGGATGGGACTCGAAAAGATGTCCTGAAGGCGTTCCGCTCAACAGAAAGGGTAGCGAGGTCCATGGTATTGAACCTTAAAATAGGAGTCTTAGTCTTGGGTAGCTCGTTGTCTTTTTTGTGTGCAAGTTTGTTGGTATTATGTCGGTATTATGTTGCTATTGTTATGCTTGGCCAATTTTTAGGGTATAGTGAAGGCTGATTTGCTTAATACTTGAGGAACCCCCCAAAATACATACATTCACTATAGATTCCCCAAAAAGTGGATTTCCCATTGGGAACATACAACATAATTCTGAAACAAACCTAAGTATACTACAGTATACTGTTGTAAAATTAGTAGGGGGATATATGCTGAATGATATGCTCAAATCCAGACATTTCAGGATTTGGAACGCTAACCGCTAACCCGGAGATGATGTTCTGTAAACACTCCACAATATTCCCCAATATCACCAGAAATGGGTGGCAGTGGATGGCATAAACCCTCCAAAATGTGGCTTTCATTACGTGGTGAACTTGGTGGTTTCTTAATTCTCCGCCACATGTGCCAAAGCTTCAGTAGGATAAATCATGATAAATCGCAAGCCCGGCTAATCCCAACAAAGGCGGACAAAAACATATACCCTCTGTTAATTTAGCATAGCTATTGAACATTGCCATTTATAGTTTATTTTCCCATTAAAAATGGTGATGTTCCATAGTTTTGTTAGTTTACCAGAGGGTATGCTTGGCTACAATCCATCCAGTTCATGAATATGCAAGCCCCAGGATCATCATCATTGGAGATGCAACATCATTCACGGATAGCAATGGAGATGTTGTGAAAGCAACCAACATTTGGGGCGATGTAGCTTTTACACAAGCCATATCCTGCATATCTTATCATGTTCCATGCCTTGATTTGGGAGTGGACATGCGCAACTGCCCGAAAGTCAAAACACAGCACCCTGGTAAGTCCATTTGTTTTTTGTACGTGCAGCGGAAGTCTCACCTATCGATACCGAGGGCACATTTAATCTTCCTAGGACGTGAGATTTTCATGGTATCTTGTGTGAGATGAAGCCTGTTCAACACCTCTTATACCTTTTCAAAGCTCTCAAAATAGCATTCCTCCGTGCTGCCTGCCACCAAGGCGCATCTGTCACACCATCCATGGCCGAAATGCCTTGAGCACGGCCCTTCCTCAAAGGCGGATCAGCTCATCGATTCTGTGCTTCTGCTAAGAGATGCCAGTCTGGGATATTTTCTACCCCAAAATCCTAAAACCTAGCATGGAACCGCAGGAAAAATCAGGAAATGGCTTGGAACACATCATATCTTTCAATATGCTGCGCATGCTTTCGTATGCTTTTGTTGGGTTTCACGTTATGATAAGTTTCTGAGGAGCACAGCGGCAAGCGTTCTTTTTGCACACTTCCCCCACTAAATTCCTATCAGCTTCACCACCGCATTGAATAGTTTCTGGGTGTTTCTGGAATAAGATCACCTTCCAAAATCTGCAGCCACATCCCCCAAAATGTCTCAGCAAGTCGCGGCTGCACCTTGGGTTTGGCCACATTCACTCTGGCCTTGGCCTTTGGCGATCCCGCTCTGGCCTTGACTTTCGGTTTGGCCACCGCCGGCTTCGGTGCCGGCTTGGGCGCCTGCGCCTTCGCCGGTGCCTCCGGTGCCGGCGCCGCGGCTTCTGCATCGGGGGCGTCTGGCAGCTCCCCTGCATCCAGCAAGGAGGAGTTGGAGGAGTAGCCTGCGTCGTCCTCATCATACCTGTTTTTTGTGTGCTGGGGGGGTGTCCTGCATGTGACTTAGGGGGATAATGTTTAGGAAACACATGAAAAAACTATTGGCTCTTAGATTTCTTAGATGCTTAGTGACCAGGGCCGTCATGCAAGTGCTAGTCTTCAACATGTTTCAAGATGTTTCAAGGATATGACTGTGGCTCCATAGTGTTTCAGCGCCAAGCGGCAAATGCGAATTCCGATAGATCGGAATGTCAACTCATCGTTTACAAGCAGCTCCTCAATTTAGATACAAACTCTATGTATAGTTTCCAAGTTACCAAAGCATCAACTGCCAAGCATGATGCGTTTCTGCACCATCTTCACATGAACCAAGTCAAACAGCACGCACTTACAATCACCGTGGACAAGCAAACACCTTCAAAATGACTGTGCAAAATTATATATATTAAATTTAAATTTCCAGGACTCACGCCAAAACCCGTCCATCTCCCTGACCAATGATCAAGTTGCCAATCTGGATCGGCGGCTTTCAACTGTGTGGACCAGGGCACTTGCGTGGACAAGGCTGGGGGTGATGCTTCTGGGAGCCTCGGTTAAACTCACCGCAGGAGAAAAATGATGATCGACGACAACCTTACAACTTCCTGTTTCAGTTGCAAGGGAACACCCCGCTCAAAGCACACATTCTTAAAGCAAGTTAAACCTACTAAAAACTACAGTACCCGTTTTAAAGCAAGTGCTGCCTGGTGAAGTGATGCCTGGCATCTGTTCCAAAAGTCATTCTAAACCCAGGAAGGGGTGCAAGTCGGAAAGAGATTTTGTGCTATGAAAGGGTCAATTTAGAGTAAACGAATTCCATTCTAAAGCGGCTGTGCTTGTGAACCAGAAATAGTTGCTACAAAATAAATGCACCACTTCACGCCCAAAATTCAAACATGGATATACATACAGCATGACTTAAATGTAGCAAGCATGACTTAAATTCAAGCCGAACATAGTCGCTCGAAGCCTGGAAGTTCGAATCTCCGATTCGGGCCCCGGATTCGGGGCCCGGATTCGGAGCCTAATCTCCTTAAAATACACTTGGCGGGTATATGGTATGCCTAAGAGATGTAGCAAGCATGATTTAAACTTAAGTTGAGTGTAGTCGCTCCAAGTTCGAACCTCTGATTCGGGCCCCGGATTCGGGCCCCGGATTCGGGGCCCGGATTCGGGGCCCGGATGGGGAGCCCAATCTCCATGAAATGGGTATATCGTATATGCAGCCTTGCAAACTATGCCTTAGACATGTAGCAAGCATGGGTTAAATTCAAGTTGAGTGTAGTCGCCTGATGTTCGAAGATTCGGGCCCCGGATTCGGGGCCCGGATGGGGAGCCCAATCTCCATGAAATGGGTATATGGTAAGTGCAGCCTTGCAAACTATGCCTTAGAGATGTAACAAGCATGGTTCAAATTCAAGTTGAGTGTAGTCGCCTGATGTTCGAAGATTCGGGCCCCGGATTCGGGGCCCGGATGGGGAGCCCAATCTCCATGAAATGGGTATATGGTAAGTGCAGCCTTGCAAACTATGCCTTAGAGATGTAACAAGCATGGTTCAAGTTCAAGTTGAGCGTAGTCGCCTGATGTTCGAAGATGCCCGGATGGGGAGCCCAATCTCGATGAAATGGGTATATTGTACGTGCAGCCTTGCAAACTATGCCTCAGAGATGTAACAAGCATGGTTCAAATTCAAGTTGAGTGTAGTCGCCTGATGTTCGAAGATTCGGGCCTTGCAAAGTATGCCTTAGAAATGTAACAAACATGGTTTAAATTCAAGTTGAGTGTAGTCGCCCGATTTGTTCGAAGCTTTGGTTCGGGGCCCGGATTCGGGGCCCGATTCGGAGCCCAAGCTCCACGAAACAAATGCAGGTATATACTGCTAAGATCAATTGGTATGCACAGCGTTGAACAATGCCTGTCAGGGATGTAGCAAGCAAGACATGCAAGCTCTGCGCATTTACTCGAAGTTCTAGCCTCCAATTTGGGCCCCTGTCTTGTCATTTTTCTTGGGTTCTCGACATTCTGCAGGCTAGAGATAGCAGGATCGCGTGCTTCTCGACAGAGCTCGGTTGCCTAGAATTTCCAGAAGTGTCATGTTGCGTCATCAGTCATGCGTGGTCACCGACTCTTCTGATTATCTGACCTTGGAACATGTGGGAATGCCTCCGCCGCATCCTTTGCCACTTTTCCATTTCAAACAAGGATTTTGCGCAGTCAGCTAAGATGAACACGGACCAGTAGAACCTCCCTTACTAGGGCTACATCTCCAGGAATCACGCCAAGTTAGTACTTGCGTGTTTTTCATGGATGACTCATTGTTTGAATCACTGCCGCGTCCAACCATTGATGGCCATGGACAAGCAGGTATATAGTAAAGGTTCTCAGGCTCAGAGCTTCAGCATGTCCACCTGCCGCCAGAGCAAGACATCGAAGAGCGATGCTGCGGGCCGGAGCAAGTCAAAGAGATCATCAGAGCAGGTTGTTGCGGACACACCCGTGAAGAAGGATGATGAGCAGAAAAAAAGCTGCCCACAAAAAGCAACTTGGAGTTTTCAACCCAAACCCGCAAGAGTGCTTAGCCATGCTCTGGCCCAGCCATACGGGATGCCATATTGACGAACTGAATAATGTTGGGTATGAGGCATTTCATATTGCATACGCTCTATATTCCAAAACATCTGTCAAAGTTTTGCGGTCCGCAATGCGGCCTCAGGTATGAGAGCCGAAGAAAAAATCGTAGATATTGTTTAAGTGCTGAAGACTTCCAAAAGATCCAGGGCTATGATGATCTGCAGAAGCAGCTGGATGAGGCGAAGGCGCTGTTGGCCCAATGTCAGGACCCGCAAGGATTGGTGAAGAGTTTGCAGGAATCCGCTGAGCGCATACGGCTTCTCGAAAAAGAGAATGTGGACCTGTCTCGGATTTTGACAAACTATGTCTCGAACCCTGCTATGCTTCCTTGCAGAGCTGCAGATGCCTCAATCAAAAGGGAGCTTCTAGTCAAGAGGGAGGTTCCATGATAGACTGTGCAGGGCGTCCAGGAGGTGTTCATTTGGGGTGTCCTGCATCATTTTCGGCAAGTCAGGACAGGGGCCGTACACCAGTGACCTTGGACAACAGAGCTTCCGAAGACCTGTTAGGGGTGGAAAAAAAGATATGCCTTCCATTGCCTTCCATTACGCTAACTTGGTCGAAGCAATCAGAATAACTGCAACATGCGTTTGTTGGGCTGGTTCATGGGATCTTGAATTCTTTGCAGTCACGGCTGCGCATTTCTTCTTTGATTTTTTGCTGGTTATCTGTAATGCAATTTCCTTGGCAGCACATCCAGGTTGGTGAGCCTTCCGTGACTATGGGATGGAAAACCTGTGACAAGAAGGTGCTGACCTTCTGGTTTCCATGGTATTCTGTGGCCTGAAGCCTCTTAAGTATGATGAGACTCACTGTAGAACATTGTATATATTGTTCCAAATATTTGCCTGAACGGACCCCTTTTTTGCCAGCTGTATCTGATACAGCTGGTTGAAAGCCCCACTTGTAGAGCCATGTTGGGCCATGTTGAGGCCTATATTGGCAGGATGATGCCTCTACGGACCCCTTTTTTGCCAGCTGTATCTGACACAGCTGGTTGAAAGCCCCACTTGTAGAGCCAACTTGGGCCATGTTGAGGCCTATATTGGCAGGATGATGCCTCTACGGACCCCTTTTTTGCCAGCTGTATCTGATACAGCTGGTTGAAAGCCCCACTTGTAGAGCCAACTTAGGCCATGTTGAGGCCTAAATTGGTCCTGGGCTCATCTTGGGTCCATGTTGGGCCCATGTTGGACGTTTGGAGGCCTTTGTTGGAGACAACCGTCGCTTGGGTCGGGAAAACAGTTACTTGAAGTATTCGACTTTGGTTGTACAATCACTTGTGTTTTAGCTTCATCCCATGATATTCTCATGCATGTTGGTAGTGAGGCTGCGTTTGCAGTTTGCTCTGGTTTTTCCGCACCTGCCAGGTGACAGTTGTTATAGATTTTGTTAGAGTAGTCCGCTTCCCGCCTCTTTTTCTCCTTCTCCTTGCTTCTTCGCCAGCTCTCAATCACAGTGGGCGCACCGGCGGACCTCAACCACGAGCTTCGGATCACGTGGGCACCAGCGGGCCTCCACCGCGACCCCGACCGCCAGTGGGCAGTGCTGGGCCTCCACTGCCAAACACGTTGCCAGAATGTATCTAAGATAAAATGTCAGAACATATGCCACATCAAAGGCCAAAATATATGTCAGATCCCACACCCGAAAAACAATGCCACAATACATGCCAGGTAAAAGGCCAGGTAAAAGCTCCTGTCTTTTCGGGAACAAGTTCACCAACTGTAATTTCAAACCGGGAACCCTTGTGAGCCTGTGAATTGAATTCATGTCAGTATTTCAGGATCGCGCTTCTGGGGAGGGCTGCCTGGCAGAATTTGCGATCCCCAACCAGATCTGGGATCGCGTTGCCTATTTGAAATTATAAAGGGGTTCATTTTCTAACAAAACAGAATTCCAGTATTGATATTTCACTATAGATACATTGAAAAAGCATCACGCGATCCCGGATCTGGTTGGGGATCGCAAATTCTGCCAGGCAGCCCTCCCCAGAAGCATTCTGTTTTGTTAGAAAATGAACCCCTTTATAATTTCAAATAGGCAACGCGATCCCGGATCTGGTTGGGGATCGCAAATTCTGCCAGGCAGCCCTCCCCAGAAGCGCGATCCCGGATCTGGTTGGGGATCGCAAATTCTGCCAGGCAGCCCTCCCCAGAAGCGCGATCCTGAAATACTGACATGAATTCAATTCACAGGCTCACAAGGGTTCCCGGTTTGAAATTACAGTTGGTGAACTTGTTCCCGAAAAGACAGGAGCTTTTACCTGGCCTTTTACCTGGCATGTATTGTGGCATTGTTTTTCGGGTGTGGGATCTGACATATATTTTGGCCTTTGATGTGGCATATGTTCTGACATTTTATCTTAGATACATTCTGGCAACGTGTTTGGCAGTGGAGGCCCAGCACTGCCCACTGGCGGTCGGGGTCGCGGTGGAGGCCCGCTGGTGCCCACGTGATCCGAAGCTCGTGGTTGAGGTCCGCCGGTGCGCCCACTGTGATTGAGAGCTGGCGAAGAAGCAAGGAGAAGGAGAAAAAGAGGCGGGAAGCGGACTACTCTAACAAAATCTATAACAACTGTCACCTGGCAGGTGCGGAAAAACCAGAGCAAACTGCAAACGCAGCCTCACTACCAACATGCATGAGAATATCATGGGATGAAGCTAAAACACAAGCGATTGTACAACCAAAGTCGAATACTTCAAGTAACTGTTTTCCCGACCCAAGCGACGGTTGTCTCCAACAAAGGCCTCCAAACGTCCAACATGGGCCCAACATGGACCCAAGATGAGCCCAAGACCAATTTAGGCCTCAACATGGCCTAAGTTGGCTCTACAAGTGGGGCTTTCAACCAGCTGTATCAGATACAGCTGGCAAAAAAGGGGTCCGTAGAGGCATCATCCTGCCAATATAGGCCTCAACATGGCCCAAGTTGGCTCTACAAGTGTGGCTTTCAACCAGCTGTATCAGATACAGCTGGCTAAAAAGGGGTCCGTAGAGGCATCATCCTGCCAATATAGGCCTCAACATGGCCCAACATGGCTCTACAAGTGGGGCTTTCAACCAGCTGTATCAGATACAGCTGGCAAAAAAGGGGTCCGTTCAGGCAAATATTTGGAACAATATATACAATGTTCTACAGTGAGTCTCATCATACTTAAGAGGCTTCAGGCCACAGAATACCATGGAAACCAGAAGGTCAGCACCTTCTTGTCACAGGTTTTCCATCCCATAGTCACGGAAGGCTCACCAACCTGGATGTGCTGCCAAGGAAATTGCATTACAGACAACCAGCAAAAAATCAAAGAAGAAATGCGCAGCCGTGACTGCAAAGAATTCAAGATCTCATGAACCAGCCCAACAAACGCATGTTGCAGTTATTCTGATTGCTTCGACCAAGTTAGTTTGTGTAATGGAAGGCAATGTATATCTTTTTTTCCACCCCTAACAGGTCTTCGGAAGCTCTGTTGTCCAAGGTCACTGGTGTACGGCCCCTGTCCTGACTTGCCGAAAATGATGCAGGACACCCCAAATGAACACCTCCTGGACGCCCTGCACAGTCTATCATGGAACCTCCCTCTTGACTAGAAGCTCCCTTTTGATTGAGGCATCTGCAGCTCTGCAAGGAAGCATAGCAGGGTTCGAGACATAGTTTGTCAAAATCCGAGACAAGTCCACATTCTCTTTTTCGAGAAGCCGTATGCGCTCAGCGGATTCCTGCAAACTCTTCACCAATCCTTGCGGGTCCTGACATTGGGCCAACAGCGCCTTCGCCTCATCCAGCTGCTTCTGCAGATCATCATAGCCCTGGATCTTTTGGTAGTCTTCAGCACTCAAACGATATCTAAGATTTTTTCTTCGGCTCTCATACCTGAGGCCGCATTGCGGACCGCAAAACTTTGACAGATGTTTTGGAATATAGAGTGTATGCAATATGAAATGCCTCATACCCAACATTATTCAGTTCGTCAATATGGCATCCCGTATGGCTGGGCCAGAGCATGGCTAAGGACTCTTGCGGGTTTGGGTTGAAAACTCCAAGTTGCTTTTTGTGGGCAGCTTTTTTTCTGCTCATCATCCTTCTTCACGGGTGTGTCCGCAACAACCTGCTCTGATGATCTCTTTGACTTGCTCCGGCCCGCAGCATCGCTCTTCGATGTCTTGCTCTGGCGGCAGGTGGACATGCTGAAGCTCTGAGCCTGAGAACCTTTACTATATACCTGCTTGTCCATGGCCATCAATGGTTGGACGCGGCAGTGATTCAAACAATGAGTCATCCATGAAAAACACGCAAGTACTAACTTGGCGTGATTCCTGGAGATGTAGCCGTAGTAAGAGAGGTTCTACTGGTCCGTGTTCATCTTAGCTGACTACGCAAAATCCTTGTTTGAAATGGAAAAGTGGCAAAGGATGCGGCGGAGGCATTCCCACATGTTCCAAGGTCAGATAATCAGAAGAGTCGGTGACCACGCATGACTGATGACGCAACATGACACTTCTGGAAATTCTAGGCAACCGAGCTCTGTCGAGAAGCACGCGATCCTGCTATCTCTAGCCTGCAGAATGTCGAGAACCCAAGAAAAATGACAAGACAGGGGCCCGAATTGGAGGCTAGAACTTCGAGTAAATGCGCAGAGCTTGCATGTCTTGCTTGCTACATCCCTGACAGGCATTGTTCAACGCTGTGCATACCAATTGATCTTAGCAGTATATACCTGCATTTGTTTCGTGGAGCTTGGGCTCCGAATCGGGCCCCGAATCCGGGCCCCGAACCAAAGCTTCGAACAAATCGGGCGACTACACTCAACTTGAATTTAAACCATGCTTGTTACATTTCTAAGGCATACTTTGCAAGGTTACCCATGTCATGGAGATTGGGCTCCCCATCGAGGCCCCGAATCCGGGCCCCGAATCCGGGGCCCGAATCTTCGAACATCAGGCGACTACACTCAACTTGAATTTGAACCATGCTTGTTACATCTCTGAGGCATAGTTTGCAAGGCTGCACGTACAATATACCCATTTCATCCCCCTTGAAATTCGCCCCGAGACGATGAGAGCTCCATTCTGTAGGGTGCCCAGCCTATCCCCCTACAAAATGGTAGCGCCCATGGGGGTTGCTGCCTACAAAATGGTGGCACCAGGGTACCCCACCTGCCCACCAACATCAAATATTTTGGGTTAACATATGTTAACATAGTGTCCAAAAAACTGTGAAAAATGGGAGAACCATTTTGTAAGACACAAAGCAACCCTGTGGTCGCACCCTAGTCTTTTTTGGGTGACCAATTTGTAGACAGTTTGCCTTGAATGAAATTTCTTCTTAAAATCTCTCAAGCAATCCTTGCATATCTCACATTTTTGCATTTTGTGCATCTGGCAATCGGGTTTCATAAAGTATCGTCTAACAGAAGTAGTCAGATAGACTGGACCGAAGTAGTGGTCATCGCGTTTTTTTTCTGGACCGGGGCTGGTTTCAAAATTTTGGAGGCTTTGATCTTGTTCTCATATAAAGTGATGTTGGGTGTGTATAAGCAGGTCTCTTTCTACAAAATGGAGTGCCCCGACGGCACAAAAAAAAAACACACATAAAATCTGATTTATAGGGGGCCCAAGGCCTACCATTTTAAATGGGAAATGTCAACGGGGATCATGCTTGTGGATGTGATGGCGCCCTTCCATTTTGTAGACAGATTGTTTGTTCTGGATGGTTCTGGAGGGCCCTTGAAAGTCATTTTAAAAAAACATCTAGCTTTCATCCCCCTTGAAATTCGCCCCGAGAGGTTGGGCCTACCAAAGTGTAGGGTGCCCAGCCATGGGGGTTGCTGCCTACAAAATGATGGCACCAGGGTACCCCACTTGCCCACCAACATCAAGTATTTTGGGTTAACATAGTGTCCAAAAAACTGTGAAAGACACAAAGCAACCCTGTGGTCGCACCCTGGTCTAACCGCTTTTGGTTGGCTCAGCAGTGCCGGCCGCTGCCCCCAAGCCCTCGAACTAGCTGATTGTCAGTGGCCATGCTGCGCTTTTCACATGGCGTTCCTGCTGATCGTGGGATTGGTTGGGGAAGGCGTCAAGGTGGCTGACGACACAGCCACACAGACGCCAGAGGAATGGCATCTTGTCTTCGAACGTGACTGATTGGGACAGTTGCCAGGAATAGGACAACTCCAAGAAAGACACTTCAAGAATTAGGCGCAGTTTTCAAAAAAACAAGGAAACTTTTTTGTTTTTACCAATTCCATTTGGAGCTACAAAATGGTAGGCCATTTCCATTGGCAGCTACAAAATGGTGGGATACAGAAATAGTTAAGGTCTAGCACGTGGTACCGCTTCTGCACCCGGCAAGACAACCAGGACATCCAATCCAGAAGCGTCTCTTTGTGTTGTTCTGGTTTGAACCACATTAGTAAAAGAACATTGGGTAACCCATTGCAAACTCTGGCCAGCTAGCCCATACCAGTCTACAAAATGGATGGTCCCCATTCATAGACTACATGGTCTAACTATTTCTGTATCCCACCATTTTGTAGCTGCCAATGGAAATGGCCTACCATTTTGTAGCTCCAAATGGAATTGGTAAAAACAAAAAAGTTTCCTTGTTTTTTTTGAAAACTGCGCCCAATTCTTGAAGTGTCTTTCTTGGAGTTGTCCTATTCCTGGCAACTGTCCCAATCAGTCACGTTCGAAGACAAGATGCCATTCCTCTGGCGTCTGTGTGGCTGTGTCGTCAGCCACCTTGACGCCTTCCCCAACCAATCCCACGATCAGCAGGAACGCCATGTGAAAGCGCAGCATGGCCACTGACAATCAGCTAGTTCGAGGGCTTGGGGGAAGCGGCCGGCACTGCTGAGCCAACCAAAAGCGGTTGATTTTTTTTGTGTTCAAATATATTTACATTTGTGGATGTATTTATCAACTCCCCGTACGCATCTACAAAATGGTATTCCAAATCTTCTACAAAATGGAGGTGCCTGACACTGGCATATGATCTTGTTCTCATATAAAGTGATGTTGGGTGTGTACAAACAGGTCTCTTTCTACAAAATGGAGTGCCCCGACGGCACCAAAAAAACCATAAAAACTGATTTATAGGGGGCCCAAGGCCTACCATTCTAAATGGGAAATGTCAACGGGGATCCCATTTCATGGAGATTGGGCTCCCCATCCGGGCATCTTCAAACATCAGGCGACTACGCTCAACTTGAATTTGAACCATGCTTGTTACATCTCTAAGGCATAGTTTGCAAGGCTGCACTTACCATATACCCATTTCATGGAGATTGGGCTCCCCATCCGGGCCCCGAATCCGGGGCCCGAATCTTCGAACATCAGGCGACTACACTCAACTTGAATTTGAACCATGATGTTACATCTCTAAGGCATAGTTTGCAAGGCTGCACTTACCATATACCCATTTCATGGAGATTGGGCTCCCCATCCGGGCCCCGAATCCGGGGCCCGAATCTTCGAACATCAGGCGACTACACTCAACTTGAATTTAACCGATGCTTGCTACATTTCTAAGGCATAGTTTGCAAGGCTGCATATACGATATACCCATTTCATGGAGATTGGGCTCCCCATCCGGGCCCCGAATCTGGGCCCCGAATCCGGGGCCCGAATCCGAGGCCCGAATCAGAGGTTCGAACTTGGAGCGACTACACTCAACTTAAGTTTAAATCATGTCTCTTAGGCATACCATATACCCGCCAAGTGTATTTTAAGGAGATTAGGCTCCGAATCCGGGCCCCGAATCCGGGCCCCGAATCCGGGGCCCGAATCGGAGATTCGAACTTCCAGACTTCGAGCGACTATGTTCGGCTTGAATTTAAGTCATGCTGCTACATTTAAGTCATGCTGTATGTATATCCATGTTTGAATTTTGGGCGTGAAGTGGTGCATTTATTTTGTAGCAACTATTTCTGGTTCACAAGCACAGCCGCTTTAGAATGAAATTCGTTTACTTTAAAATGACCCTTTCATAGCACAAAATCTCTTTCCGACTTGCACCCCTTAGAATGACTTTTGGAACAGATGCCAGGCATCACTTCACCAAGCAGCACTTGCTTTAAAACGGGTACGGTAGTTTTTAGTAGGTTTAACTTGCTTTAAAATGGGTATTGTAGTTTTTAATCGGTTTTGGAAACCTGTAGAAACCACCATCATTTGACAAAAAAAACTGCTGACTCATTTCAATCCCAAACATTCGATTGCCGCTGCAATGTTCGCACACAAGCTCTGCCGCCTCTGCGTGTTGACTACCAAAAAAATCTTAGGCAAAAACTTAACTATCTCAGTACTTCTTTTTTTAATCTTCTTCCATTGAAAGCCATTGCTCGCAACTACCAAAAAACGCCTGGGCAAGAACTTAACTTTCTGAGTCTTCCATTGAAAGCCATCGCCCGCAACTCAGCGCCTAGGCAAAGACTTAACTTTCTCAGTTTCCCTTTTTTAAACCTTCTTCCATTGAAAGCCATCGCCTGCAACTACCAAAAAATGCCTAGGCAAAAACTTAGCTTTCTCAGTACCTCTTTTTTTAACCTTTGGTTCGAGCATTGTGATGAACTCACAGAAATCAAACATGGTGCGCTGACAGTGGGCAGCTCCAACAGATTTCTTGGTCAGCAGCTGCTTCCATAATCGCCTATCAACCATTGTGGCTGGTTATTGTGGTTATTGTAGGTCATTGCTATTATCAACTGATAAGCCGCGAATTCAACAGTGATCAGCCATGGAGTTTCCATGTTTTTTTCCACCAACTAAGTTTTAATCTAGCTAGTACTGACTTGATCACTATTTTATTACAATTGTACTAGTATGATTTGCCACGAAGTACCCATGATCGATCAGGGGTAGTGTTATTCAGAGTGGTCAAAGTGTGCTTTGATTTTTTGGTGATTGACAATTTGCTGTAAGAATGTGGTATCCCGGTTCGAACAGGGCCATCACTGCATCCCGCGCCGCGTCACGGGGGCGGCTTGGTCTTCTTGGGCGTGGGAATGGGCCTGGCCTGCGGCACCCGCGTGTCCTCCAGCACCGAGGGCAGCTCCGATAACCCGGACAGGTCTGGGACGAAGGAGCCAAAGGCCGGCATGGCATCGAAAATGGAGCCTTCGGCCTGGAGAAATCCGTAGGTGGCGAATCAGAGTTTTTTTCCATGATCTCCCATGTTTTTCCATGATGTTCCAAGGATTTCCAATGGTTTCCCAATGTTGTTCCACGATTTTACAGATGATTTACTCATCTACAATTGAGATGTTCGCCGAGAAAAAACCAGCGCCTCGGCTGGTGCAGGGGCAGCCGCCTGCGAAAAAAAACCGTTTGCAGAAAACCATGGCGACAAAAAGTGCTAAATGATTTTCATAAAATTGGGGATTTAACCAAACAAACATGGGGATGTAATGGGATAAACATTGGGATCCATAGAATCGATATTTGGATATGTGGGTCGGAAAATATCCAAATTTACCTTTGATTTGCTTTATGTTTTACATCATTCTTAACCATCATTTTTTTGGGTATCCGATTTTCAGAAAACCCATATCTATCTATCTATCTATCTAATCTTATCTTATCTATCTAATCTATCTATCTATCTATCTATCTATCTATCTATACATATGTATATATATTTATATATACCGTTAAAAACAAAGTTAGAATGCGGTTTTGGCTTCGCGTGATGGTGGCCCGTTTGGCCCCCCACGGCAGTCGCATTCTAACTGAGGAAACACCTGTAAATATGCAGAAACACAGTTAGAATGCGGCGCCAAAATTGGTAAGAAAATGTAAGTTTTGACTGGTATTTTACAGGCGAAATACAGTTAGAATGCCTCCTCCTTTTCTTCTATATTGTTCCTTGCCCTTCCTTTTCTTATGTCTTTTTCATTGATCTATATCTGCTGTAGTTTCCGGGGGGCATTTTATCTGTTGTTTTTCTACTGTAGCCACATTTCTGACCCGCAGGGAACCTGGAGTGCCCTTGTCTCTTTTCCGATCTTATCCGCTTCCCTTTCCTTGTCCTTTTGTTTCTATAATGTTCCTTTCCCTTCCTTTTCTTCTATGTCTGTATTCATTGATCTATACCTGCTGTAGTTTCCGTAGGCATTCTATCTGTTGTTTTCCCTGCTGTAGCCATATGTTTCTGACCCGCAGGGAACCTGAAGTGCCCTTGTCTCTTTTCCGATCTTATCCTCTTCCCTTTTCTCCTCCTCTTCTTCTATATTGTTCCTTACCCTTCCCTTTCTTCTATGCCTTTTTCATTGACCCATATTTGCTGTAGTTTCCGGGGAGGCATTCTATCTGTTGTTTTCGCCACTGTAGCCATATGTTTTTGACCCGCAGGGAACCTGGAATGCCCTTGTCATGCCCTTGTCTCTTTTCCGACCTTATCCTCTTCCCTTTTCTCGTCCTTTTCTTCTATATTGTTCCTTACCCTTGCTTTTCTACTATGTCTTTTTCATTGATCTATATCTGCTGTAGTTTTCCGGGGAGGCATTCTAGTCTATCCGTTGTTTTCCGCACTGTAGCCATATGTTTCTGACCCGCAGGGAACCTGGAGTGCCCTTGTCTCTTTTCCGATCTTATCCTCTTCCCTTTTCTCCTCCTTTTCTTCTATATTGTTCCTTACCCTTCCTTTTCTTCGATGTCTTTTTCATTGATCTATATCTTCTGTAGTTTCCGGGGGGGCATTCTATCTGTTGTTTTCCGCACTGTAGCCATATGTTTCTGACCCGCAGGGAACCTGGAGTGCCCTTGTCTCTTTTCCGACCTTATCCCCTTCCCTTTTCTCATCCTTTTCTTCTATATTGTTCCTTACCCTTCCTTTTCTTCTATGTCTTTTTCATTGATCTATATCTGCTGTAGTTTCCGGGGAGGCATTCTATCTGTTGTTTTCGCCACTGTAGCCATATGTTTCTGACCCGCAGGGAACCTGGAGTGCCCTTGTCTCTTCTCCGACCTTATCCTCTTCCCTTTTCTCCTCCTTTTCTTCTATATTGTTCCTTACCCTTCCTTTTCGTCTATGTCTTTTTCATTGATCTATATCTGCTGTAGTTTCCGGGGAAGCATTCTATCTGTTGTTTTCACCACTTTAGCCATATGTTTCTGACCCGCAGGGAACCTGGAGTGCCCTTGTCTCTTTTCCGACCTTATCCTCTTCCCTTTTCTCCTCCTGTTCTTCTATATTTTTTCCTTACCATTCCTTTTCTTCTATGTCTTTTTCATTGATCTATATCTGCTGTAGTTTCCGGGGAGGCATTCTATCTGTTGTTTTCCGCACTGTAGCCATATGTTTCTGACCCGCAGGGAACCTGGAGTGAACTTGTCTCTTTTCCGATCTTATCCTCTTCCCTTTTCTCCTCCTTTTCTTCTATATTGTTACTTACCCTTCCTTTTCTTCTATGCCTTTTTCATTGATCTATATCTGCTGTAGTTTCCGGGAGGCATTCTATCTGCTGTTTTCCCCACTGTAGCCATATGTTTCTGACCCGCATGGAACCTGGAGTGCCCTTGTCTCTTTTCCGACCTTATCCTCTTCCCTTTTCTTCTCCTTTTCTTCTATATAGTTCCTTACCCTTCCTTTTCTTCTATGTTTTCTTCATTGACCTATATCTGCTGCTGTTTCCGGGGAGGCATTCTATCTGCTGATTATCCGCTGTTTTTTTTCTCACTGTAGCCATATGTTTCTGACCCGCAGGGAACCTGGAGTGCCCTTGTCTCTTTT